CACGTCTAATGTAAAGCGCACGACAAAAGCATCAATAAATCAGTTACCCACGTCTAATGTAAAGCGCACGACAAAAGCATCAATAAATCAGTTACCCACGTCTAATGTAAAGCGCACGACAGAGGCATCAATAAATCAGTTACCCACGTCTAATGTAAAGCGCACGACAAAAGCATCAATAAATCAGTTACCCACGTCTAATGTAAAGCGCACGACAAAAGCGTCAATAAATCAGTTACCCACGTCTAATGTAAAGCGCACGACAAAAGCATCAATAAATCAGTTACCCACGTCTAATGTAAAGCGCACGACAAAAGCATCAATAAATCAGTTACCCACGTCTAATGTAAAGCGCACGACAAAAGCATCAATAAATCAGTTACCCACGTCTAATGTAAAGCGCACGACAAAAGCATCAATAAATCAGTTACCCACGTCTAATGTAAAGCGCACGACAAAAGCATCATAAATCAGTTACCCACGTCTAATGTAAAGCTCACGACAAAAGCATCAATAAATCAGTTACCCACGTCTAATGTAAAGCGCACGACAAAAGCATCAATAAATCAGTTACCCACGTCTATTGTAAAGCGCACGACAAAAGCATCAATAAATCAGTTACCCACGTCTAATGTAAAGCTCACGACAAAAGCATCAATAAATCAGTTACCCACGTCTAATGTAAAGCGCACGACAAAAGCATCAATAAATCAGTTACCCACGTCTAATGTAAAGCTCACGACAAAAGCATCAATAAATCAGTTACCCACGTCTAATGTAAAGCTCACGACAAAAGCATCAATAAATCAGTTACCCACGTCTAATGTAAAGCTCACGACAAAAGCATCAATAAATCAGTTACCCACGTCTAATGTAAAGCGCACGACAAAAGCATCAATAAATCAGTTACCCACGTCTAATGTAAAGCTCACGACAAAAGCATCAATAAATCAGTTACCCACGTCTAATGTAAAGCTCACGACAAAAGCATCAATAAATCAGTTTACCCACGTCTAATGTAAAGCTCACGACAAAAAGCATCAATAAATCAGTTACCCACGTCTAATGTAAAGCTCACGACAAAAGCATCAATAAATCAGTTACCCACGTCTAATGTAAAGCTCACGACAAAAGCATCAATAAATCAGTTACCCACGTCTAATGTAAAGCGCACGACAAACGCGGAAAGCCAAGACACGGGGGCTAAAATCTAGTAACGGCCTGACGACAAACAAAAATTTAATAATAATGACAAACATCGTTGATTTACCTGGTGTAAGAAGAAAACGATGCTGACTTTCCGGCAAATTTAGATGATGTTTCAACAATATGACTGCTGCCTTTGCTTCCGCAATATATTTCCTGGTATCAAAGCAGACTTATCCCGGCGGGAACTGAAACCGTCTTGTAATAGGTATACTTTCGTGTAAAAGCACACACAGACAAACACCCTGACGCACACAGTTCTATACATATCCGTACAAACGCACTAACACTCTACTTGCATACATACATGCATACGGTTATACATTATAGCACACAGCCACACACTAAGCACTATTGAGCTCACATACTAACATAGACATACACAGACAAGAAACACCACATACACACACAAGTGCGCACCCACTCACATACACGAGGACACATCCACAGACACGTTCATATACGTTCTACACACGTACTTACATAAGCACCTACTACTGTAAAATTTACAAAACCGGAAAACTCGTGTGATTATCTATAACCCACGTCACTTTCAAGACGTTTATTTTTAGACCTAAGCTCACTGTACGTTGTTTATTTTTATCACTCAAATTGGTCTGTTGACGTCTTGCACACAAAACATACATTGTTGCTTAGTTGCTGGAAGGGGTTCATCAGTGAAACATAACAGACCCCACTGTTTTCATTTCGGTTGAAAGCGTGAACCTGCCGCCAAACTTGTGTGCATCTTCTTGATTCCGGAAGATAAACTGGGTGTAAAAAACTATTGTTGGCGGATCTGGAGATCCCCTATATCCTTCCAAATAACTTACAGGGCTCGAATTAAATAAGTCTAGGGGAATTATAACGGTCCCTGAGTTCTGGAAAATAAAGGAAGGAAAATACAGAAAGTTAAATGAATAGGGTGAATCCCCGGAAATTTCCTAAAGAAATTCAGAAAACAACCAAAGTCAAAACTTTGTAAATTTAACTTAATTAAAATTACGAAGAACAATCTCTAGTCTACCTAAGAAGTAAATTTGATACGATGAAATCGATAAATGGAGTTCTAAACAACAACTGTATTGATAAATACTGATATGGAATTCAACGATTTTCAAATTAACAAACAAAAGAAAATTACTGAATCATCATTACACCACACAATGTTCAATGAACAATCTTTCACTCAGCTTTAGGCAAGTCTTGATGAGCTGAAATGTAGTTTCCTTTGGAGGAATGTCCACTGATAAACCGGCAATCAGGAATACGGTTCACGTTCCTCAAGCAACTAGGCAAACAGGCCAACCGGAACACGGGATTACGGTCCTCTGGTAACCAGGCAAGCAGGAATACGGGAACACGTTCCTCAAGCAACTAGGCGAACAGGCAACCGGAATACGGGAATACGGTCCTCTGGTAAACAGGCAAGCAGGAATACGGGAACACGGGAACCTGAAATCGTATGGTATTATTATTTTTGTTGGTGTTAGGCCGATGGTATGGCTGGCAATCGTTCTGTGTTGTGACGAAACTAGATCTAAGGGTTTCTCCTAGTAACACCACAAAACGTCATAAATTATGTGCGCCTTCGTACCTTTTTATTCTTTTAGCGTCTATGTTTAACTATATTTATTTTACGTGCGCAATTCTTTTAACTGAAACTTGCAATTAACTCTTGCCGGACTGAAATATTCCTTCGTTTTGTCACACTGGGATATTCTGTTTCCACCTTCGGGGACTCAGAAGGTCCTTGGCAGCGTGGTCAAGAAGGTCCTTGCCAGGCTGGTCATGAAGGTCCTTGGCAGGCTGGTCATGGAGGTCCTTGGCAAACTGGTCATGGAGGTCCTTGGCAGGCTGGTCATGGAGGTCCTTGGCAGGCTGGTCATGGAGGTCCTTGGCAGGCTGGTCATGGAGGTCCTTGGCAGGCTGGTCATGAAGGTCCTAGGCAGGCTGGTCATGGAGGTCCTTGGCAGGCTGGTCATGGAGGTCCTTGGCAGGCTGGTCATGGAGGTCCTTGGCAGGCTGGTCATGGAGGTCCTTGGCAGGCTGGTCATGGAGGTCCTTGGCAGGCTGGTCATGGAGGTCCTTGGCAGGCTGGTCATGGAGGTCCTTGGCAAACTGGTCATGGAGGTCCTTGGCAGGCTGGTCATGGAGGTCCTTGGCAGGCTGGTCATGGAGGTCCTTGGTAGACTGGTCATGGAGGTCCTTGGCAGGCTAGTCATGGAGGTCCTTGGCAAACTGGTCATGGAGGTCCTTGGCAGGCTGGTCATGGAGGTCCTTGGCATGCTGGTCATGGAGGTCCTTGGCAGGCTGGTCATGGAGATCCTTGGCAGGCTGGTCATAGAGGTCAGATGTGGATGGTTCCTGAGACCACAAGTCTGCCAACTTCCTGGTCTGTAGATAGTTCTGTTGCAGGGGTGGGGGACATCATTATCATGTGTTGTTACATGAAGATCATAACAGAATAGATCAATACATAGCTGAACTTCCGGTCAAAATGGGCGCTAGGTAGGGGCACTGTTTGAAGCCGAGGCAAATTTTTTGCTTCTGCCGGACGGTGGCCGATACATTTTTGCTCCATTTGTAGACCAGATATAGTTTCGTCGCTCAGCTTCTGAGTTGAATGCATGGCGTGACACTGGGAGCTGCGGATTTCATTTAGAATATTTCTTCGACTGTGACCAACGTGGTGGTGTGAATTTTAGATTCAGAAAATGGCGCGATGCCTGTCGTTGCAATGTTGGTGGTGCCCGTATGTGATTAAAATAGATCACGTGGGCAACTGTTGATTTGTTGGTGACTTCTGCTACCATCAATGATGAACTGCATTTCTAATGTCGGACTGTTTGTATTAGCACTTCTGATGGCTACCATATGCTTTAATGCAGTCTGTCTATCCACAAGGGACTGTGATAAACAGGATGTGTGTTTTCCGTTGGCACAGGAGCGGAGCAAAGATGGGTGACCCGTTTGCTATGAAGCTGAAACTAAGACTACCAGACTACCAGAAGGATCTACCATTGCTCTATAGATCATTGCAGTACAGTTCATAGCATAGTATAGAACATTGCAGCATAGATCATGACATAATAAATCATAAAGTATAAGATCATTGCAGTATAGACCATGGCAGTATAATTAATGACAGTATAGTATGATTGCAGTATAGTTTATGACAGTATACCTCATGGAAGTATAGCACATGATAGTAGAGCGCATAATAATATTAGGGACAAAGACGCAGAGAACACGGGGGAGAGGTGTTATGTATCCTTCTTACAACTTTTCGGGGAAAGGACTGAACAGTAGAAATCCTTGTTTAAGTCCATAACTGTTATAATAATACTACTGCTACAACAACAACAACAACAACAAACAGTAACTACTACTACTACTACTACTACTACTACTACTACTACTACTACTACTACTACTATTACTGCTACTATTACTGCTACTACTACAACTAATATTATTAATAATAATAATGGGTACAATGACAAACCAATGTAACAATGTATTTCAAATATGAACTGTACAAGCAAAAACGAAAAAAAAGAGCTTCTATAATGTTATGGGGAGAGGAGGAGATGTATATCTAGAAGATGAAGTGGGAGGGAAGATCAACGTGCCCCCCACACCTGCCTCCCATGTTCAGGTATCTAGTGTAGTCAATGACAGTTTGGGGAAAAAACAATTAAGGATTTCACAATGTTTTTTTTTTTTTTGTTTTTTTTTTTTTGTTTGTTTGTTTGTTTACATGAACTTTATTTTTCTCATAATAAATTCAATTATTTAGCCTTCTTGGACTTCATTTTCCTGGAAAAGAACTCCAACTCTTTGCCTTCGAGGATGTAACCATGCACTCGGCCACACTGTCCTGGCCGAGAGGAGATCTTGGCAAGAACTCTCCCAGTGGCAAACTGTTCTTCGAAGGCTTGCTCCACTTTGGCTTGTTTCTTCCTCTCATTGTATTTCTTCTGGGTCTTTTTTGAACGCACTTTGTTCAGCACTGCCTCATCTTCCTCAGACAGTTTGACACCCTTCTTGCGTCCAAGGGGTGTGGCGTAGTGAGCTTCGTACCACTGCCTGAATAGGGTAGAGTCAATCTGTATGATGGGGCTCTTCACAAGTGTCTTTGTACGCACAAACTCATTGTTGGACGGGTTGTACACCACATCAATGACACGTGTCTTACGTGTGATTGCTTTACTGCCCCAGGAGAAGTTGCCATGATCCTGTCGAAGAGCCCTATACTTCTTGTTTCCACCCATTGTCCTCACTATGTTAACAATTTTCAGCAGACATAGAACACAGTAATATTTAAAACTAAGCAAAAAACAAATGATATTAATCTTCAATTTACAAACAACAATCACGAACATGAATTACCTCCCGTAAATTACAGAAATGGGAGATTAATTGACCTCAGACAGTTTGTCTCGTGATCCCACACACAATTAATAATGAGTGCAGAAACTGTAGCACTTGTAGAATCAATAGTTGAAAACATCCGCATGTGTGACAACTGTGCTGAGCTGTAGATCTGGGTCTAAGGATGAAAGCAACAGTTTTATTACTCCGGGTTTTGAAGATCCTGTTAGTGTCTCGAAGTAAACACATCGGACGAGGATAATATGTTGCAGTCGTACATCATCATCATCATTTTTCTTACAATCCATGCCGTGAGGCGTTGGTAGTCATATCTATTCACAACCTTCTGTCTCGTGACAGATGATCCTCCATGCCATGATGTCGGACTGTCCAGCATCTTTTCTCTCCATCCTTCTGCATCTTATTCCCTCGATCTTTCCTATTGTCACGATGTACTCTTGATTTCTCCTTCTCATCACATGACCAAAGAATGTAAATTGTCTCTTTCTAATGAGGGCAATCCCTTTTATTCGTCAGGTTGTTTCTTTCAAGACATCCTCATTACTCTTGTTATATGTTTTATATATTCGCATCGTCCGTCTATAAAACCTCACCTCCGCAGCCTCTACATAACTTTTCACTAATCTACCAACTGTCCATGATTCACTTCTGTATATCAAGAGAGGATTTCAGTAGCTTTTAAGAATTAGCTTACTCGTCTCTTTCTCGTTATGACTATGTAATGAACTTTCCACCGGCTTAAGGGTGCTAGCTGAGGGTTTAACCAGGTTCCGTTATTATAATTAATAGTCTGAGTATGTCGGCTTTGTGGCTAAGTCGATGCGAACGCTTCGTAATGCCGGGATGCCGGGTTCAATATCAGCTGCGGGCCATGCGCCTTGCGTTGGTTTCGACAGTGGTATCAAGAAAGCCGACCGTCCAGGAAAAATGGCAAACTACTGGACGTATATTTGCCCAGACAACCACACAACAGCCAGAGGCTGTTGGGGTTGGTTCTGCAACGTCCTGTAAAGGATACGCAACTAACCTAACCTAAGTATATCATGTTGCCCCAATGACACCATCGGTCTGAAAACACTTTTGTTAACTTTTGGTTCTTCGTCTTCCACGTCCTCCTTTAGAGATGTATTGACACCATGTGATGTGGTTTACAGCTAGACTGAAACATCTGCGACTTTCGACCTAACATATCTGACTTCAGCAAATTGCTAACTAATACCTTCATTCGGTTCGCTATTACGAGGTGGGAAATTGCTGGACAGGAGAGGGCATGGAGACCAACTATTAACTGGTATTCGATGGCTTTTCTCTTGGGTTTCATGGGTTTAACCATGTAAATTGTGTACAGTTAGGAATGGATAAGATACAGCCGAACTCAAAAATCTATTTTTAATTATTCAATTATATGGTGTTTTCACAATGGATGGACCGGCTCTAATGCCTATTAAATGTGTAGTTGCTGGCATTTCCTTAATTGTGCCATAACGCCAATCAATTCATTCATGCATTCATTTTATTTGGCGTGTGGGGGGTTAGGGGGGGGAGGGGGTGGGGGGGGTTGGGGGGATTAAAACAAGACACACAGTCGATATTTATTTTGAGGGTTTATCTGTATCTTTACAGGAGGACTGCGTGGTCTCAAGGCATGGTGTCCGCCTGGAGTGCTAGAGGTTCTGGTTTCAATCCCCAGTAAGGGCTGTGATGTTTTCATGTGGACTTGGAATTCTCTCTGGGTAGTGAGATCGGACGCCCGTGAGCATTGTTGCGCACGTAAATAATCCCTTGGCAGTTGGAAATCGAAAAAAGTAGCCTAACAGCGCTGCAAAAATGTAGAGTTAAAAATCTACCCAAAGTATTTCAGGATCCTCGCCGGTGCTGAGCTTCATCGGACTCAGATTTGAAGTTAGGAGGAAAACAGAGCCCTTATGGGTTACCCATGTGTGCCATGATGTTGATCCGTTGTTCAACCTCAAATTTCAAACCTATATATTTACAGTTACTCTAAAATCAGCACAAAACCCCGCCCACAACGTGATGCAATCGATTCACACAACGCGTTTATAAATGCTTGCGGCCTTGACCCGCTTGAGGGACTGCCAATAATTCCCCTAGAGAAACATCTCGGCGATTTCCTAGAAAACAGCCGGCAATATAAACAAACGGGAATATTCAAGACAGACACGGATCGGGAAATCAGACACAAACAAGACTTTGAAAACCTGGTGTTTTATGTTAAATGTACTGGCTTTTTTGGAATTCTGAATTTGGTATAAGGAGGGAATACATACAAACTTGAGGTGACGATTTGATAGCGTGAGTAGATTCTAGATATTCAGGTTTTTTTTTTTTTAAATCCTAATAATTTCTGCAGTTTTTTGTTCGCAATTAGTCAGTCACTGATTCATACCTTTACTATCTCATTTAAAAACAGTCTCTCTCTCTCTCTCTCTCTCTCTCTCTCTCTCTCTCTCTCTCTCTCTCTCTCTCTCTCTCTATCTATCTATCTATCTATCTATCTATCTATCTATCTATCTATCTATCTATCTATCTATCTATCTATCTCTCTTTCTCTATCTCTCTCCCCCTGTGCATGTGTGTGTGTGTTTGTGTCTGTCATTCTGCCTTGCTATCGCTCTCTCTTTCTGTCTCTTCCAATCAGGTTTCTCCATCATTCCTGTTTCTGTGTGCCGCTTTCTTTCTCTCTCTCTCTCTCTCTCTCTCTCTCTCTCTCTCTCTCTCTCTCTCTCTCTCTCTCTCTCTCTCTCTCTCTCTCTGTGTGCGTGTGTTATTGGTTCTATTTCTCTCTGATTCACTCTCTATATCTGTATTTCTGCCTCTCTGTCTCTTTATGTTTCTTCACCTCTCTCTCTCTCTCTCTCTCTCTCTCTCTCTCTCTCTCTCTCTCCGTATTTCTTTATGTATTCAGGTGTAGGTATGTTTAGGTGTGTTTGCATGCATGAGTATATATATGTATGTGGGTATATGAGTGTGTAGGTGTGTGCTATTTTATCTGTGTATGTATGCATGTGAGTGCATGTGTTGAAAAGTGACTGTATATGCGTGTGTATGGTTCTGGGTACATGTGTGTGTACGTATGAGTGTGGATGAGTGTACATGTCTGTATGAGTATGTGTACATGTATGTATTTGTATAAGGGTGTATGTGTTAGTGTGGATGTGTTTGTGTATTGGTGTGCGTGTGTCTGTGTACGAATGGGCGTATAAGAGTGTATGTGTATATTCGGAGTGGATATGATACATAATGTATGTAAGCATTGTTTCATTATATATTTATTTTTATATAATTTACCATAATTATTGATAACATGCAAATGTGGTCTGAAAGTATGACTGGGCTGAATGTAAACCGGGACCACGTGTCCAGTTTATAACCCTTTCAAAATTTTGTTTGTTTGTTCACTCGTTCGTTAGTTCGACCTCTCTCTGCGTGTCTCTGCCTCTCCCAGTGTTTCTGTCTCTGTAGGAATCTTCAAATTTATCTGTCTCTCTCTCTTTCTACAAATCTCTTTCTGTCTTTGTGTGTCAGTGAATCTCTCTGCCTCTGTGTGTGTGTGCGCGCGCGCGTGTGTGTGTGTGTGTGTGCGCGCGTATGTGTGTGTCACCGAATCTCTGACTCTTTATGTGCAGTTCCTCTCTATCTGCCTTTCTCTCTCTCTGTCCTTCTCTGTGTCAGTAAATCTAGGCGTCAGTCTCGCTCTCAGTTTATCTGTCTTTCTCTCTTTCGATTTCTTTCTCACCATCTTTATTATTTCTATGTTTTATTCGTATATCTTTTATGTGTATACATATATACATATATAAGCTGCTCTCTATAAACCATCTGTAGTTCCAAATGAGATAATTCCCAGGAAAGATCAACGATGTCTCTATAAATGGTGATAACACCAAGATAATCAAGTGTGACAAGGCAGAAGGCCTGGTTTGAAATGAAATAAACCAGCCGATTTTATTTTAGTTTTTTTCAGAGGAAACGTGCTTGTAAGAAAATTATGACAGAATCAGCGTTGCGAAAACAAAGCCTTTCTCTGTGATATTGTGTACTGACGTAGACTGCTGTGCCGGAACAATCATTCTCTGGCGTGACTAATCTTTTAAAACTGGCCACACCCACCTGCAGCTTGTGTTGGATGACCCAGGATCCAGGAAGAAACCTTCTGCAGTTGAGGACTGACCCTAGACCACTCTAGTATTAATCCCTTTGGATTACTAATGTATAATCTTTCAGCTAAAAAGGGTTGTATAAATTCATAAATTATTATGAGCTTTTGAACTGAAATGTTACATACAAATTATTAGAATACCGGGAACTAAGAAGAAGTAAAACGTCGACATCTAGCATGATGTGAACATCAAGAAGTACTGGCTCGTTAACACCATCCTGTCCCGAAAGCTAGGGTATTGTGGACATGTCCAGCGCCGTGCTGGTCTGGAGAGAACGGTGATAGAGGGAGCAGTGTGCAGAAAACGAAGCACTTCCTTGAAGCTGGGTACAGACAATTGAAGATGTATTGGCCATGAAAGCACACAGGGCTGGAGAATCGGCTAGAGAAAGAGAGACTTTCAGGTGTGCTGTGAAGAGAGTGACAATCTGTCAAGGACGTGCTGATCGATCGATTTATTGATTGATTATTACAATTATTTGCTGAATATAAAAGTATGTTTCAAACAGTAAGAGAAAAGTACATTGATATACTTCAAAAGCGAACTTTTATACGTGTTTGTGTTGCTGGGGTCATGTTGCTGCATTGCAAATTTTGTATGGGAAGGCGGGTGTAGGGAAAGAGGTCCATTATACCCCTAATATCTATTAAGGGAGAGATTTAGTCACCTCTAACTACCACCACCCCCCCCCCCCCCACTTTCCTAATCCCTTTGAATTTGTGTTTTTTTTTTTAGTCCTAATGCTCCGACGCT